AACGCGTCCTGCGCAAACAAACTTAGACAGAGCGGACAACATTCTGATAAGTTTCAGATATAAATACTAGACTTTCTTTGCATTGCCTATAGCAGGAACTTAAAAATGTCTATTCCATGAAGCAACGTAACAACTTTGCTGACATCAATACGCCAGTAGTGATTAACAGGCAAGCTATCCAAAACAACAGAGAAGCTGGCAAGGCGTGCGGCCTGTTTGAGCGTTTGTTTTTAGCTTCAACGTGTGTATCTGGGACTGTATGACAGAAATCAAAGCGGTCGGGCAATCTACCAGCGGCTGGCTGGTCGCATGCCTCTTGGGAGTCAACGATGGGTTGAAGGTACCGGATCTGCGACCACCAGAGAGACGCCAAGGCGGATATTAAGTCGCGAGACGCTCACATCTGGCTCCTGGACACTGAGGGGGCCCCGAGACCCACTTAAAACCTGCAGCGCCTGAAGGGCCGGAACAGCTCAAGTTGCTCCAAGAAGGTCGAAGACTCCCATAACGTAGAAGGGTTTACGGGACCAACTTGACTCATCAAAGCTGGAGTTTCAGGAGAACTGAGAGGGGGAGGCGCGCATTGGCGGCGGAATGTACGCGGCACACTGCCAAGAGCACGGCAGCCCCGTTTACCTAACAGTTGGCGCTAGGCGCGGCCACAGGCTCCCGGAGCCTCGCTGTGGCCAAGCGGCACTGCGTGCGCCCGCGGTCTGGGCAGGCGGTACTGCGCACACCCACAGCTTGGCCAGGCGGCACTGCGTGCGCCCGCGGTCTGGGCAGGCGGCACCGCGTGTATCCGCGGCCACAGGCTCCCGGAGCCTCGCTGTGGCCAAGCGGCACTGCGTGCACCCGCGGCTTGGCCAGGCGGCACTGCGTGCGCCCGCGGTCTGGGCAGGCGGCACCGCGTGTATCCGCGGCCACAGGCTCCCGGAGCCCCGCTGTGGCCAGGCGGCACTGCGTGCACCCGCGGCACCGAACGCATTTGTTTGCTCAGCAGCAGCCACCCAGAATATATATACATAGCACCATTTTCCAGACGCCGTGTGCAATTACAGCCAGACGACAGATTCAACGGCAAGTAACTTACAAATGAACCCTTTTGTTTAAACCGCAGCTCTCGCGTGTTCATCATTAATGCACATCTAACATCTCACATAGTGAAAGTACATCAATAACACCGAAACTTTTAATATTAAAACAAAATGCACGGCACATCAATGAACACCAAGCATTTCATCTGAATACAAAACAGTAAACATTAAGAAATATTAACTCAACAATAAGGCATCCTTAATGCATCCAATAATCGCAGCGGATGGACACTGTACAGGTGATAAGTGAGATCATTTTGTGGCAAACAGCTGTTTGCAAACGCCGGCTGATAACAAAGTCCACAACAGACCGTCTTTTTACAGCATTGCACACGATCAGCCTACCATGCGAAAAGTTCCCCTCCATGTTTAAAAAAAGTTTACTATGCACGTGCTTGCATGTCATGCCCTGACCTATTGAATGCGCTCAAAATGGGACACATTTGGAGCTCTGCAGCACATTTTGGCAGTCACAAACCAGCCAGATACCGAATTACATGCAGAGCGTTCGCCAGCATTAATCGCCGACGAATATTGAGCATACGGCGTGCACATTTCTGTCTGCTTTATGAAAGCATAACACTTGCAACGTTGTTTGCGCAACTCAGCTAATAATTTGCTAGCTTCTCCACCGTATTTCCCGGACACAAACCATAATTTTCTGGAACAGGTTTGCGTCAAGCTCCGGGCGCCATAGACTTCAGTGTGAGGGTCGAGCCGCCTGACAACACTAATTTGCGATGCAAACGGGCTGATCAGGTGTACTGCTAGCGAGGGCGGCACCTGACATGCATTCCAACGCGGTACCGACGATCCTTTGGTTTCCGATTGCCTAGAACCCATCGGTCCGTCCCCCGGCAGAAGCGGCGGGCGTGGGATGGAGCCTTGACAAGGCACAGCTGCCTTCCTGTCAGCAATATTTTGTTTTAGCCCCATGGCGTTATGAAAGAAATCAGAGTTCCAAGTCACGCTGAAACTCGACGGCCACGGACGACACGATGCCAAATGTGTCATATCCATTTTCCTGGCCTGTGCACCTGACCAGAAGTGACAGTCGCCAGATACCAGGCGGCGGGCGCCGGCCGTGCAGACGGCTGACCTTTCCAAATGCATCAACTCGTCGAACGCTCCAACTGTTTACCAAAGTGGCCTAGCAGCGAGCAGCTGTGCAGTGTCTATCTGTGGGCAGTGTGTAGGCTGTTACCGGCCACCGCTGGCCGGACACAAACGGTCGCGCCGACTCCTGGCTGACCGGTGCACGACACGGAGCCGAGCCTCTGGTTTCGAGACAACCAGCGGCGGGTCCCGGCCCGGTCTCTGGTCCGGCCGGCCGCGGCACCGAGCTGCACCTCTTGCTCCTCCCCTCTGCCCGGGCAGAGGCGGCGGCGGTTTTACGGCACAGCCACGCCGCACCTGGCCTATGGCACAGCCGCGGAGTCGGCCGCCCTTACCGCCATTCCGGCTAAAAATATGACGGCGACACGTCCGCCTGCACACGGGTTATGCAGCGTCGGCGGCGCCTGGGTCCAAACGGTGCTCAGCTGGCCCGCCGCAGCCGCCGCAGCCGCCGCCAACGCCGCCGCCGCAGCGCCGGCGCACCCGCGACACCGGTGCCGCCCACGGCTTGCAAGACACTTCCTTTGCAGCGCCCCTCCGCCCGCCCATTCCATCCATATGGCATGTGCTCACCTCAGTGGTGCTCACAAATGGCACGTTCACTATTCTAGCTATCTGACCGCTGGCTTTTTGGCACCAGGCATCGACGGCGGCAACAGCATTTCTCAATGTTCTTTTACGAGGAGGAATGCTCTTATCCAGTCACGGATGATCTTCTGACAGCAATCACCATGCTCGTTTGCGTAAACACGCCAGGAATGCGGACAGTGAGGTTAGGGAGTTCACCTATTGTTGCGCCCTGGCTCAATGTATTTTTAGTCCCGTCTTCTAAAGTTGGTCTGCTCGAGGTGCTTGAATTCTGAGCACCACCACTGCCATAAAGTACGGGAGGAAGCCGAGCCGCAGGGCAACGACGATCGACACAAACTGAATCGATCGTTCCCTACATCTTCCTTTCATACACGCTAACAATCGACTCCTTGGCACATGGATGGAGGCCAGTGCATTATGAAACCCAGCCAACTATCGATGCGGTGCTATTCACGAAGGCCGCTATCAGTCATACGCTACCAATGAGCCAGAGCACAGTCTGCTTGCTCATGCCACGGCCGAAGCGCATGACGCACCATGCCAGCGCTAGCCAGCACTCGTGGTTGCGTCGTCGGCGACGGCGGCTCCCCCAGGGCGTTGCCATGACGTCAGCCGTCGCCGCTGCCGCCGCCACCGCCGTGCAGGGGACGGCCGCCGCGGCTCGGTCGATGACCAGCGGCCGATCGGACGGCCGGCGGCGCGACGCGCACGTGGCGGCCAGCGGCTGGACCACGCCCGAGCGGCCAGCTGGACCGGCGGCGGGCCGGGGGGCGCCAGCACACTGCGCCGGACGGCCAGTCAGGACGGCCAGGCCGGGCGGCCAGCACGCCTGACCGCTACATGAGGACCGCCGACTATCTGCTGCGACTATGGCAGGGTGGACGACCCTCGACCGTTCTCAGAAACGTAGGCAAAAACGCTGGAAGCCAAAATGCACCCTGTATTTCTACGCATTGTTGCACCATCCGCAGCGTTCTGTCGGTCAACCAGCCGCGGCAGAACGCTTGCAGCTGCCTTGCGGAGGGGCAGTGGGCGAGGGACAGATCTATGCGGTGTCTGTCAATAGGGCTTTCCGTAAATCCCCTGGCCTCCCCTGGCATTCTCTGTGCTGAGCCTCCGGGGGTGAGAGGAGCGGCTGGATAGTCTCCGCCGACACCCAGCCCCGGCTGCGGTGCCTCCAGATCGCTTACACGGCGTGCGGACAGCCGCCTGGTGCCGTGCCAGCTGCACTGCCCATACATTTGGTACCACATTCCACTCGGATACACACACACAAAACGCGTTTTGCGCACAAGTAATCCATGGCAGCTTCGGCATACTGAATACTTGTTGTGCCTTTGAAATAATTTCGGCTGCCCTTTCGCAGGACGCCAGCTTACATACTGGCACACCGAGCACAAGTGACAGTGGGCGGACTTGCATTACAAGCGTACTGGAAACGACGGGATGGTTAGTTGCTCGGGAAGTAATCAATCATGTAGGAACAACACACGAACGAAAGTAGATGGTGGTTGCCAGCTGTCAAACATGTCACTCAATTTCGACTGATGTTTCTTGTTTGGCAAGGCTACCACGATACATATTTCAGATACCGGCTCCAGAGGACGCGGAAGCCCGGTTCCCAGTGTCCTAGAAACGGTCGCAAATGAATACGAAACATAGTTTAAAATCGTTCTACACTTGTGACAGTATGCACCGGCAAGAGAGACAATGGATTGATATAAAAGCAGCACTTTGCAGAGTGCAGCCAACCAAGTCAAGCTACAGTTTTTACTTTTGTTACTTTGTTTGCATACTTTTCAGGGCACCGGGTTCAAAACAGTGCCTGAGTGGATGTGACAAGATCAGTTCACCTGATGCACAACTTCAGCGGCTCAGTTTTTTTAAGGCTCCGCAGCTCGGGGAGGTTCCACGATCTTATGCACCTGCAGGCTACATGTGTACCGCCTACCCAAGTAGCATAACAGTCAGCTAACCACGGCCGCCTGTCTCTCGGCTCCACAGGTACTGCGTCCTGCGCTGGAGAGCTGAAAACCTCCCGAGGGACACCCGACGACGCCCTGGCCGGAGGACCAAACATCTCAGCGACGAACATGACGCAGCGCAGGGGCGAGTCTAGGCGACAGAGCAAACCAGTCCGGCGCCGAACCCGGCCCCTGCCTGCGCGCCGCACGCGTCCGTACCTGTCACCTTGTCGCGGATCAGCTTGCAGCTCTCGACCTCGCCAACGCTGGAGAAGAGGCTGCGAATCTCCTCCTGCGACATGGTCTGCGGCAGGTAGTTGACGATCAGGTTGGTCTTGGACTCCTCGGTCTGGCAGGACTGGGGCGCGTGGCCGGGCCCGGGCCCAGGGCTGGTGCCGCCGCCGCTGCTGACGGCGCCGTGGCCCGGCTTCGAGTCGGCCTGGGCGGCATGCACGCCTCCGTTCGACGTCAGACCTTCCAGCTCCACGCCGTTCATCATGGACGTCACGGAGTCTGCCGGCACGGGGCGGCGGCCACTGTCACACAGAGGTCACGCTATGGAGATCAGGGCAGGCGATATGCTCGGTTCTGAACCCTGCTGATGTCTCACCCAACCCCAGTGCTCAACAGTCACCGTCAACTGGCTCGTCGAGCGTCCAGCAAATGGCCAGAACAGTGTGGCAAATGGCAGGTGTTAACGCTCGCATCCCAGAAAAGCAGCCTGCGATCCAGCCAGCGGAACGGCGGAAGTGACCCATTTTGGATTGGACCAAACATGGTTAATCAAATAACTGTTGAGTTGGCATCGCAGGAAACGAGTAGTATCAAATGTGACCCATTCAGTTCAATCAATGACCTATCAAACAGCAAAAAGGCAATGAGCATGCGACACTGGGAACCTCTTGATTATCAGTTCCTGACATATCAACATGCTTCGAAAAGAAGTCCTAATGCCGTTGAATAAAAAACATGGCCACAAAGCGTGTAACTGAACACAATATCCCGTACAATACACCCTAACCAGTCTCCCATAGAAAACCACTGGCGAGGCGACTTGGTTGGCGTGGAAAAGGCGTGCAGATGACATGTGGATGTGCTTTCACGTCAGACGAATCGAAGACCTATGCAAGTAGACCCAAACGCATTCAGGGTTAACGTCCAGACGATCGCCATTCCGGTGGAATCCGACAGCTCATGGTCATTCTGAGACCGGATACACCAACTCAAAATTATACGCATGGACTAGCAGCCCACGGCATGGCTGTTTTCAGTCGACGGAATGTAACCAATTTTCCCTTCGTCTGAATGATCTTTGCTTCGGGCATGGGGACGAAGCTGACTTTGGCTTCGGCTTTGCGCGTACAAAGTTCGAAGTCACCGGCTTCGGATTCGTCTTCACGTTTGGAAAGATGCGAAGTCGCTGGCTTCGCCTTCGGCTCGCAGATTCAAACACTGAAGCCATCGGCTTCAGCTTCGACTTCAGCTTTGTTTCTTCGTCTGTCACTGGCTAAAAATTCAGCCTTGAAACCAGGAGGCTGGCTTCGTCGTCATGCCTGCTGTGTCTGCAATAATTATGAGCAAAACTTTGTTCAAAATCGGAGAGCGCAAACGTTTGCAGCACGCTTCTAGCGATGACTATTTCATCCACGGCGGACGCTCCGAGCATTTCGGCTGTGTTTACCTTTCAGTCTGCGAGAGTGTTAGTTTGCGTGGGTGCTGCGCCTAAACGGCTCGGCCGGTCGGCACCAAACCTTCGCTGCTGGGTATGCCCCACCGGCGCGCAGACTGCGGCGCTGGCCCAGAACCGATCCGCGCCTCATGCGCCACGTGTCTCAGTGCCTCACCGCCCCCAGCCTCCGTTGACCTCACGCGCCTTAGAAAGTAAACCGTTGTAATAGCTTAAGTCATCACTGCACAGCTGCAGGGCAGAGCTTAGTCAGCGCTGCAAAGTGCGGTGTGTTGGTTTAACATCATGGAGTGCGCGTTGCGCGCGTGCATGCAGATCAGAGCATCTGACCCACGCTCAGAGTTTTAACCCAGATTCCTCCAAATCACTAATGTATAAAGCTATAACTACCGAGTTCAGCAGGTAGATATGTCTTCACGCGTTCCAAGTCATAACATATGCAATGGTGCACGCCCAAGGTTCATGCATCTATTTTGGGCGCCTTTTCACCACGGCCCGATCACCGATGAGCGGCCAGCGCCACCTGCTTTGGAAATAGGCAACAGTCGAGAGATATGTCGAACCATAAACAATGCCATCAGAACGGTACCTTGCACGTTGCATGTGTGAAAACGTTTGCACTCTTCTGCAATTACACAACAAACATCACTACTATGAAGTTGAAATGTGACGGTAAAACTTGGTATGAAAATCATTATCCAAGCGTAGTTGCTTCATACTGAAATAACCAAAGGTCCTGTGCGATACGACCGTGTCTCGTTGCACCCCGTCATTGGCAAAACAATGAACGACCTAAAAATATAAAGCCACCGAATTTAGTGAGCACATCACACCCGCAACACGGACAATGCAGATCAGTGAGTCAGTATCATGATATGAGGATGGCAAACGTTCCCGGCTCTATCTGTGAGTAACACGCTCCTGGGTGGCCGGTTAAATGCTCCGCGCTCGGGCGGGGAGGAGTCAATTTGATTCCCCCACCCCGAGATCTCGAAAACAAAGAGAGTTAGAGACACTAGATATACAGAGTGGGTAGGCCTCTATGTGAACTATTGTGCGTCAAATCTTGACATCCTTAGGTCATAAACTTTAGGTCAAATGACGTCAAAAAGGTCAAACTTCACATCGGTGTCCAAAGTGCCCCGAGATCTCCGCATGCAACCCGCTTTAACCTAGATGCCTCTCATGACGAAATGGGTTCGCAGCACGTCAGTGACCTTATCTGACCTTAAAATAATAAAACTCAAGAATATCCCCGGGCTTATTTCAGTATTTGAATTTACAACTGACGCCAAGCACTACTCTAAGCGGCATGCTACCCAAAGCAAAAAGGTTGATCGCGGTCACTTCAGACCAGTGACCTCCACTGACCTTTATCGAGTACACATACGGAATCTTTTGACGTCACGATCCAGCAATTTGACATGCGTGTCAGAGCCTACCACATAAAGCAAGATTTCTAGAAATAAAGCGGCTTGGCTTGACCATGACCTTACCTCTATACCTGACCAAAGGTTAATCGAATTATTCTTGAACCTAATTTCAATGACGTAATTTCCTAAGAGAGCATTCCAACGCTTTTTGAATGTCTAACACTGCGTTGTCGCATCAAATTGACCAATGTCCTTCGATTATTGAGATTGGTACGTACCGATGGCGAGATGAGTCGACTCAAAATCATGTTTTTGGGTGGAAGGCGACGCCGTACTCATGCTGCGTACGCGTGCAGGAGCGTTCCATTTTTTTCCCGTGGATCTCAAACCTATCATGTGCGTGACCTTCCGTCTACTGAGGCGTTGAGCAGCTGCCGGTTGAAGGAAAGCGTATATCGTAGTAATTCGGAACACCACAATATCTACCAGTTGCGTGCGCGAACCTGCACCGCTCGCAGATCCGGTGACCCGTTCAAAATGGGATGACTTAAAGCCCCAAATTTTATGCACCGTTTTATAATAAATATCATGGATACGCTTAACATGTGCTGTGGCTAGTATATTCGTGTGGGTTTCAATTCCGACAAAAAAGCAGCCAGGACGCGTAGGTTTGCCTGCGAATGATGTACCTAGAAACCTGCGGCTTTTCTAGAGAAAATACAACATTTTTGTTGGACGCCGGTTGCTTTCTATCTTGGCGAAATTCTCCTCAGTCTTGACATTAGAACGGGCCCATAGGGCGCAGACACAATCACTATTTCACCCCAACGGCGACAGGCGTTCAGGCCTTAGCGCTACGGCAGCGTGAGCAGAAGATTGGCAGCGAAGACATGCCAATATTTCCATTCATCATATACTTTCTGCGCTGGAGGGTAATTGTTTATACCACAACCCTCGTTTCATTCTACAAGAAACATACGCATGTTTTGGTGGTAAAATACCCCTGACGAATCCAGTTATTTTGTATGCGTATTGGTCACAATTGCTTGCTTTCCATGTCCTCTTGTCATACTACGGACATACTCCCAAAAGCGCATTCTCACCGGAGTCTGGTGGTATGTGATCTGCAACACGGATAGAACAGGGGCTCCTAGCTTCGTGGAATTCCAAACCAAGCCGGTTGGCATCGCAAAGCAACAACTATTTAGGAAATCATGAAAGTCGCCTCATTTTTGTTATCGGTGGTACAGTCTGAAGTTAAGACAGGCTTTAATGAGGCAATATCGCCCGCTCCCATCAGATGGCCGGAAGCACGAATGCCCAGCGAGGTAGATCAGTTGTAAGTCGTAGTCAACACAGCGCAACTGATTTCAACCGATCTGGCTTGGTTCGCGAGGTCCGCTCATGGGAAGGGGACTTGATTTACGCTCGAGCTAGCCTGACCCGTCGCGCGGGCATTTGCACCTTTACCACCGGCCGCTATTTTCTCAGTGAAGTGAAGCTGGATTAATCCCCGCCGCTGCCACCCGGGGCTGGCTTGATTTTGACACCCGTGTTGCAGATTGCATGCAATGCACACACTGTGCGTTCCGCACGTCGACCGAATGAGGGAGGTCAACCCCTGATCATATCGCACTGCTGGAAGTCCACGACGCTAGGTCAATCTGGTGTGCAGTTCTCGACAATACTGCACCGATTTAGTGATCAACTGAGTCACGAGCTACTGAAGACTAACTGGAGCCGCGCCCAGTGGCCGCTTTACATATTACCTTGCAACCACGGTGACGGTTGGGTCGGACCAACGAAGATCGAAATCAAAGAAAGCAAAACGATTCAATACGCTCAATAAAAAACAATACATCGTCGATTACGAAAACGAACGTACACAGCTCAATGTACACCTTTCTCACCGCATGCAGCGCAGTTACGTTTGGGAGGTCACAGGAACTGAAAACAGTAACAACAAACAGTAAAACAGTTTGCGCCCATAAAATCCCAGTTCGACAGCATAATTTCTAAGCAAGAGTTTAACGTGCTCCAGTGCATAGTCCAATGCCGAGGTATCAACCAATATGGTAATGAAACGTGATCTGTTTAGTGATTTCGGGTTTCTACTGGAACCTAAAGCAATTTTAAAAACTATCAGGCGTAAGAAAAGTCGACCCGTTGCTAAAAATTGCGCTCTTTTCATGGTATTTGTGATCGCGATTGTAGAGCAGCGGATGGCGTGACGAAGGATCCTTTTGAAGATGAGGGAATATCTTATTCTAGCTTTTTTAACTTCAGCTTAGGGCCTGTCAGTGAGCTTTCAAAGCTACGTTAAGTCGTCAGCTGTGGGTAACTGCCTCAGAGTGTTCTGCCTACATGTCAGCACAAGACACCCGTAGAAAAAAGCCTCGTGAAAATTATTTCAGCAGAAAATTGCCACTAAGTACTATGACACCATGACTGTC